GTGGGGTTTGGGGAGGTGTGGGGGGATTGTGTACCAATGAGGGAGTTTTCTTTTGCTTTTCAAGGAGAGGAGCAAACGGGGGTGAGGGTGGGGGGAGGGGTTTGTGCGGGGAGAAGGGTGCAACAATGAATGAATGGAATTCCAAAAAAAAAAAAAAAATTAAAAAAACCCCCAAAAACAGAAAACAACTTTGACTTTTCTGTCATTATGTCCTTCTTACCACCATTCTTACCACTAAAGGGATTTATTATTTCTACTACTTGTGAATGACTTAACTTCTTACTCAGACTTCCCAGAACTTAATTTCCTATATTTCTTTTGTCTCTTTATGCACAACATCTACTAATAGGTTTCTGATACGACACTTTCAGTAAATACTGGCATGTTACCATTTTTCTACATTTTATTGAGTACTTGAATTTGTAATAAGAACTTCAAGAGATCAAAACTAAATGAAACAAAATTTCTGCCTTCAAAACCCTGCTATAATTTAGAAGATCAAAGGGATGCCATGAGCATTATATTTCATTAAAAAATAGTGGATGTAAATATTATCATTCAAATTTGCCTGACTGACAAATACAAATCATTCTCTGAATTTCTGTATCCTACAATTTAGAAAACAGAGAAAAACTGAAAATAAGATTGTCTCTGTTTTTGGAAACTGTAGTGGCATAGTCCACATTGAATTGCACTACTAATCTAAAGACGAGGCGAATTTGGAGGTTCAGATCCACTGCATCTCTTCAGGAGAAAAATGGGCAATCTGGGTGATCTTCTCCTGTGTGATATACAGCCTCTGAAAACCTGCAAGAGGATCAGATGAGTCCGTTCTGGCTCCATGACAATGAGTAGAGTTAAGGCATATTGAATTTTAACCACCAGGAAGCATTGTAGGTGGGAGTGGTAAATGGAAAACAAATACAGACTTTATAATATCACCATACATCTGCTAGTTATTCAAAGTAAAATGTAAGAACACCCAGAAAGAAAGTGTCGCAGTTAATTCCAATAGACCAAAGAGAAATGAAAAGCTACTGGACAAAGGGCTATCTAGAAACAAAATAAACCTGAATTTCTATCTTACACTTACACTAAAATAAATCATAGCTAGTTCAAAAGAACAAGGGAGCATGGCATGATTTGGAATTGAGAAGGTACACATCAGGGCTGTATTCTACTTGCTGCAGAACATCAAAGAATACAGACTTCAATATGGATTGCATCTCAATGTCAAGAAAAAAAATTTTTTTTTACTACTGGACTGATAAGCAAGATTATGATAAATGGAGAAAATATTAAAGTTGCCAACAATTTTATCTTGCTTGGATACACAGTCAACACCCTTGGTTCCAGCAGTCAGGAAATCAAGAGATATATTCCACTTGGACAGTCTACACTTAAAGACTCTTCGAATTATTGAGGAGCAATAATGTCAGTTTTAAGACTAAAGCATATCTGATTCAGGCCATGGTCTTTTCAATCACTTGCTGTGCATCTGAGAGTTGGACAATGAATAAGGATGACAAATGATGATGCCTTTGAGCTATGATGTTGGAGAACATCCGATGGACTGCCAAAAGAGCAAACAGTTATGTTGTGGAGAGGGTGAAGCCTGAGTATTCCCTGGAGGCAAGGATGATAAAGCTTCATCTCACATACCTTGAGCATATTGCTAAGAGAGAGTATTCTGTGGAGAAGGAACATCATGCTTGGAAGGTGGAGGGATGATGAGAAAGAGGAAGACCCTCAACCAGGTGGATTGACACCAGGACTGTGGCAAAGGGCTAAATTCTATCAGGAAGTTTGAAGATGACACCAAATAGGTTAGGGTTCAGAAATGTTGTTCATAGGGTCACTATGGATTGTTTTGACTCAACAACACCTAACAACAACTAACAAAAGCATTACTTGTAAACCTTGAAATAGTTTCAATGCTCAATGATGGGAAGCTCATTGATATTATTTTTGTTAGTTGCTGTCTAGTAAATTCCAATTCATAGCAACTCAAAGTGTAGAGAGTACAGCTACTTGACAGGACTTTTGTGATCTTTCACAGCAGATTATAAACAAGGCTTTATTAAAAGTGTCTCTGGATGGGCTCTAGCTGCCAACTTTTTAGCGGGTAGTGAAGTGCATAACCTTTTGTGTCATCCAGGGGCTCCTAAGTAATCTTTTTCCTCCCACCTCCACCAATCCCTCTCTCTTTTCCTCCCTCTCTGCTTCTCTCTCTCTCTCTTTCACACTGATGTTGATTTGGAAGCTACTCAGAGCTGACCATCTAACATTTTCAGAGTGTATATTGCGTGGGAGAAGACTGACTATCTTTCTCCCTTGGATCAACTGGTAGCTTCTAACTGCCTGCCTTTGGGTTAGCAGTGCAACTCCTTACCACTGGGTCACTAGAATAATGATGTTGCTGTTGTTGGATGTTGTAGAGTCAAGTACCATAATGAGCATATGAACAACAGATCTGAACCCTGTCCTATCCTGTGGCTCCTTACAATCTGATACTCTTGAGCCCATTGCTGCAGTCATTGTATCAATCTGTCTGCCTGATTGAGGTCCCTTTCTGCCCCCCTCCTTATCTTTCTAAGCATGATGTTCCTCTCCAAGAAATACCCTCTCCTAACAACATGCCCATAGTACTTAAGATGAAGCTTTATCATAATTGTACTCCGGCCGCTGCTTCTTCAAGATTTGTTTGTTGTTCCTTTGATAGTCCATGAGATATTCAGTGTTCTTCTTCAACACCACAGCACAAGACGTCAGTTATTCTTCTGACATCCTTATTCATTGTCCATCTCTCAGCAGCATAGCAAGTGATTGAAAGTGTTTTGGTAAACAATATTGTGTCATCTTCATAATGTATGTTATTGATGATTCTTCCTCCAGTCTTGATGGCACATTCTTCTTCATAAAGTCCAGCTTCTTAAATGATCTGTTCTCTTTATACATTGAAAAGGTATGGAGAAAGGATACATCCCTGACATACTGGTTTCTAGATTTTTGAACCAGGTATTATTCCCTTGCTCCATTTGGACAGCAACTTCCTGATCTAGGTATAGGTTTTGCATGAACATGGTCAACTGTTCTTGAATTTTCATTTTTCTCAATACTAGCCACAATTTGCAGTGATTAACACAGTCAAATGCCTTTGCCTTGTCAATAAAACAAAAATAGACATTCTCTTGGTACTCTGCTTCTAGCCAAGATCTATCTGACATTGTCAATGATATCACTAGTGCTGTGACTTTTTC